ATGTGTATATATATATATATATATATATATATATATATATATATATATATATGTATATATGTATTTATATGACTTTCATTCTTTTTTTAACCTACAGTACTTTGTATAAATGAGTTTCATATTTCCTTATATTTATCCACACAAAGTGTACAATCTATAGGCAATCCACTCATAGGTAGCAACTATAATCCGGTCTTCAGTCCAGCAAAGCCACACATTTATCTTTCCAATGTTGCATTAACAGTCTTTTAGCTACAATAAGGGCATGGAGAATCCATTCATGTTGTTCAGTTGTCAAATTCCTTGAGCTAGGTATGTAATTTAAGATAACATTATCCTTGGAAAATCTTAGCTTTTGTTTGCACAGTCAACATTTATGTAGTCCTTTATTTTGTCCCCAAATTTAATGCTTTTAAAGAAGCATTGCCATTACTGCATACCAACAAAAATGCTGTCCTACACAATCCTTTTCTATACAAACATAATGGAGTCCAATAAATTCTAAATATTATTTTTGGTTTTATAAGTCGTAAGCTGTGATCTATTGATATCCTAGGTATAGACGTTAAGACACAGTCTCATTGTCTAAGCAATATAGGAACCTCTAATTCTTTATTTCACTATTTTTTTTACCATTTGCATATCAAATTGATTTATTAATAACATCTATTGAAATGAATAGTTGGTTTCTTCAGTTTAAAAAGATTTAACCAATTGTTCTCATATCTCAGGTGTCTCATAAACTGAAAATGCGGCTGGTTCAAACAACGCTGTTAACAATGATTGTAGCCGTAAATATAGATTAAAAATTTGTCCTCATCATCTATCAATTGATCCAAAATCAATATTCCCACTTTCATCCAATTTTTCCATATCAACATTTCCCCCCTAATTTTTAACATTGAATTTCCCCATAAAGTCAGTTTAGCATGGGAAAAAGGATTGAATCATCTCCTATCAAAATTTGATGTTTTTTTCAATAGCTGCTTCTCTTATGGAACACTCATTTCTGTAGTCTTTGATTACTTTTCAAGGTAGAAAGTTGACTGTCCCAGATTTTTTTTTTCTTAGGTCTTACCAGTTTTGTTTGCATACACAGCCTTCTTTGGCAGCTTGGCTAAAATGAAAAGGTTTAAATATATTGATTATCACACATATTGAATACTTATGCATAACACAACTTTTAGGTACCGGTAAATGTAGGAAAATAAGAACATGCTTACCTATTTCTATTGACTTTTCTTTCTTGTCTGGTTCTAGAAAATAAGAGAAAGGTTTGAACTTGATTTCTGCATTCGGGTATTCAAAATAAACAATGAATGATTCCATATTTAACAAAGAAGGAAGCAATATATTGAGGGCAATTCGAGACAGAATGTTTTAATTCTTCAATTAAAATTAAGGTAGAATTGAGGAGATTCCTCTGACTAGATAACTCACAGTTGGCGGAATGCAATTTATGATCTATTCATTTTTGTTGGGTTTTTTTAAAAAAAAAAGAACTTAAGGTTTATATGACCAGAAAATGATTTTTGCATTTAAATATTCCAAATAAACAGTATATAATTTAATACTTAACAAAGAAGCAAATGACAGACTAAGGGGACTTTAATTCCACAAACAAAACTAATCTGGGATTGAATATATTCTGAATTCAGTTGGAAGAATATACTTTATTATCTATTCTTTTTTGTTTCTGTGTTTTTCTTCTTAAGGCTTATATGTCTTCCGAGATGAAAATAAGACTGAGCTCTTCCAGTAATCTGGCTCCAGTACCAAGATCAAATATGAGGACATCTCCTCAACAAAAGCCAAGCAGACTATGTTGGAACCAAAGCAACAGGACTGTGTGGATGAGGCGTAGGTAACCCATCCCTAGGAAATTTATTATACAAATTTTTGGCTTTATTTCACTAGGTAGTCACTTAGGATGTGTAACAGCCATTTTCAGAGTCTTCTGTTAATTTATACTAAATGTTCAAAAGGAGATACGTTTTTACCCCATTCTTACCAGATTTCTTTACATGGACATGTTTCTTTGGCACTTTGGCTAAAAGAAGAAGATATAAGGATTTCAGTTATTCTACAATTTGAACTTGTATAATCCATATCCATATCCAATATCATGTTCTGCAGTTGTAAAAGAAAGAAAACATTTACATACTGACCTATTTCTATTGGCTTTTCTTTTTTATGTGTTTCTAGGATGTAAGAAGAAGAACAGAAAATGATTTCTCCATCAGAGTCTATAAGGGTGTGCTTATTCCATATATTCCATATCATTATTGAAATGATAAACCAAGATCACAGTTAATTAGTCTTGTGATTTCATAATTAAAACAAAGTAGGGATTAAGTCGCTCTTATTTTCTTCCTGTTGTATATATGCTGTTTATTTTTGTTATTGCTGAATATTCTCCAAATTTAAGTAGCCAATCAGATATCATCAGAATTGTTTCTTTCTTCCAATTCTGTGCAAAATTTATTCTCATTGCCATGAGAATACACACACACACACACACACACACACACACACACACACTGGGATTATATCTCGTAAAAAAAGGTGCAATTTCATTTCAAATTTAATTTCTGAACTTTTCTGCATTGTACTATGTATATCTTTCCAGTACTTTTGAGAGGTTTTTTACATATTCATTAAATATAAAATTTCTGTTTCATGGCATTTACAACATTTATTACTATATGATATATGATTGGACTATATGGAGATAAATCGATGGAGTTGTGTACCATATGTAAAACATTTTATACCAATTTTCTTTTAGGTTGTGACTTGAGGTAGATTTTATGGATTTAATCCATAATTCTTCTCGTTGTGTAGTGATTGTTTCTTTGAAATTTTGCACCCGTTTTATCATAAGGTTTTATTTTATTTTTCTTGTCTCCATGTCATATCTAAGTAGGAGTTTGTATATGTGCTCCTAACAAATGGTATTTGTTTTAAATTGGCACTTCACTTAAAATCAGAATGTTCTATGTTAAATTATGGCAAGAGTTCAAAAGAGATCTCAGAAGATGGAAGAACGTAAGGCCACTTTGATCAGGATCAATTGTAATTGTTAACATAAAATTATTACCCAAGACCAATTATTTATTCCAAATGGCATCAGAGAGTTATAAATCTCAGGGAGAACCTTACAAAAATAGCAAGAAATAGTCAGCAAATTTATATGAAGTGGGAAAAGTCCCGTAGTTAAATTAAAACTGTTCAAGATTCAAAAGAGGTGGTTTTGTTCTTCAAAATTTATATTAAATCAGAAAGCAAGTTGCTTGTCATGGGTAACAGAGTGAATAAAACTCTTGATTAGTAGAATGTTAATGGACTGAAAAATATACATAGTACAATGGATATTTATGAAACACAAAGGAGGATGAACATTTAAATGGACATATTATCAATAAAGTTTAATAGAAGCATGGAATTCTATAAGGAAAATAATAAGCCCATTAGATAGACTTGTTAGTGTGTCCTTTAAATGTCTTTCATACTGGAGATAATTACAGTAGGAAAAATGTAATTACATATGCAGACATGGTCCATCCAGACTCAGTGAATGGATTGAAGAGATAGCAAGAATTATTCAGTGAAGACCAGAATATGGATGATTTTGAGGCAGAGGATAGGGGGCTGTAGGGATTAGTCCTAAGTAACTCACAGGAACAAGATGTAGTCTATTTTTCATGTCATTTTATTTCATTACTCAATGTCTTCTTCTATGGCATGCTCACATCAACAATCTTGTATGAATTAATACGAAGTATTCAAAACAGAAAGTGTAATTTAGAGGGGGGAAAAAACCCCCAGGTCTTACCAGATTCTTTCACATGTGCACCCTTCTTTGACCAGTCTGCAAAAATAAAAGAGTAAAAGGATTATGATAATTTTTCAATAGCATACTATATGAATATGTTTCTGGGGAGCAGAGGTGATAAAATGGGATGTGGTTTCCTATTTCTATCAGCTTTTCTTTCTTGTAGGGTTCTGGAAGGTAACAGGAAAACAAGGGCATCGTTTCTGCCCTTGAAAGTTCTTAGTAAGCAGTGTAGCACTTCTACACTGACCAGAAAATAAAATGATAGACTGGGGTCACTTACAGACGGTGAGCTTACTCATTCCCCAATTAAGACTTTGAAAGGGCAGTTAGTCTGTTTTATTACAAGAGAGAAGTAGAAAGGACACGTTTTGCTTTTTTGTAAATGTACAGTGCTCATAGAGAACCAAGGATGAATCAGATGCTACCTTTGAAGAAATGACAGCTAACTATTGTTTGTCTGCCTGCAAACAAGAAATGAATGTCTTGTCCTACCCACTCACTTTCAAGAACCTCTTCCCCTCCACCCAACAAAAAAAAATAAAATAAAAATAAACCAAAAACCTATTGCCATAGAGGCAAATCACCTATAGAGAGATATAAAGGCCCTTCTCCTTTGGATCTAAACAGACAAGTCATGTGCAAGAAAACCAAGCTAATAAATTAGTGTTTATTTAAAAGATGTATATTGTCGCCCATTTAAGCAACTCTGGAGAGCTTACAAGAACCAATTAATATTAAATTAATATGCATGTCAGAATATCCTAAAAAGGGAGAAATGACTCATCAGCATTTCAAAAGACCACATAGGGAACAAAGTGCCATTATATATGCAAACTTTCTACAGTTTAATCATATATGGCAATGATGGCAAACCTTTTAGAGACTGAGTGCCCAAACTGCAACCCAAAACCCACTTATTCATCATCGGGTGCCGGGTGGGCATGGCCCATTGGGTGGGCGTGGCCCATTGGGTGAGTGTGGCCCATTGGGTGGGCGTGGCTGTAGTGGTAACGGCAGACTGGGTTGACTAAAAAGTTCAATCAATCAATTCCAACTTTGCAAGATCTTTTTTTTTTCCGCGAGAAGTTGAAATTGACTGATTGATTGAACCTTTTTTTTTTTTTTTTTTTGCACATGGCGGCGGAGGCCTAAAGCGAAAAGGTTTTATAAAACCCAGCTGAAGGCCTAGGACTGGGGCAACGTGCCATAGGTTCGCCACCACTGATATATGGCAAAATCATGCATTGAATCAATGAGAAATGGACACATGGAGCTATGTATGTTTATGTAGTATAATTACCCCAATATTGATATCTGAGATAAACTTTTCTATTTACCTGTTGGTTTCCTTTATTCATTAGACACAGAATTATTATTTCATAACAACTTGGTGTTAGAAATGGAATCAGAAACAGTGATTGATAAGTAGTTGGGGAAACAGGATCTGGCATCCTGGCATGAAGCCGCTAACAATGGCATCAGTGGATTGCTCAATCCAATTTTGCATTGCATCTGCCCTGTCAAGAAATGGCCTTAGGCTATGAAATTCTTAATTTTATTCTATCGTCTACAGACAGAAAAATAATATTTGCCCATATAAATACTGTCTTAATGTACACGGACGCCTTGCTACTATTGCAACACAGTTCAGTGTTACATTAGTAATCATATGATTAAGTGTTTGGATTAACGTTATAAATAATATATTAATAATATTATGTGACTGCATGTGGTAGAATGCACTAAGCATTTTATTATCTTTAGTTGTTGCTGTATTAATTAACATTTTCTCCATGATTTACTCAGCAGTGACTACCTAAGCATAACTAGATATAATGGAGGTTATCTAACATTACTTCCTGACTTCTACTACATTCTCTTCACTCCATTATTCATGGGGGAGAAAGAATCCCTCTCTTTTCCAGTAGAACTAAGGGGAATGAGGCAAGTGGTTTTGAACAACCCTACCTCTCTCCTTTAACAAACTTCTTATAACTAAATAGGATATATTCTGCCTCGTTTCCTGACACAGAAGCATGGGCCACAGAATATCCAACATTCACTGAAGCTACTTGAAAAGACAGTGGTGGTGTGTAATAACAAAGATCACTTATACGGTTGATGGCTCAGGAAGGAAAAGGAAGTTGGCAGAAGAGGGTGGGGACCAGCCCATCTGCTGTTTGGGGAATATTTAGAAGATCAACTCCCCAAATGTCAATCTCAGGTGGTGAGACAATCAGGAAGATATCAAGCCTTCTTGTGAAAGACCTAGGCTTGCTATCAATTAACAGCAAGACAAGAAGTGAAAGGATTTTCTAAAGCACAGCATTGTCTCTAGAGTAGCTTGACTAGAAAATGACAGAATAAACATATTTTATGTTTCCTTTAAAGGAAGAGTTCATTGTCAAGACTATGAAATCCCACATAGCTTAAAGTTAAAAATCTCATCAGTGTTACTTCTACATTAAGACGTTTTCTCATCAGCCTGCAGATTGCTTCTTGTAGCTAGCTTGCTCCCCCTGCCTGATTCATGCAGAAGTCTCAATATCCATGAATCAGTTTTACTGTACTCGGTATTGCAGTTGTAAAGTTTGAAACTTGTGATCTCAATAGATGGTTACAAGGAGCTTATAGTAGATCATTGGAGGAATAGATCAGATAATCAGATATTCAGCCCCCACTCACACGGGTGGACACACACTGGATCTAGTTTTTGTCTCTGGCCAGTGGCAGAGTGATCTGACAGTAGGGGAGATAGTGGTTGAGCCCTTGTCATGGTCAGATCATTCTCTCCTAAGGTTGGTCTTCCGGACCGCTCCCCCTCGCCGCAGGGAGACGGAACCGCCTAGATGGTTCCGTCCCAGGCAACTGATGGACCCTGAGAGGTTCCTGATGGAGCTTGGGCCATATCCGGAGGATCTAGTCCACGACTCGGCGGAAAATCAGGCGGCGGCCTGGGAGACAACTGCCGCCGCAGCATTGGACCGAGTCGTGCCTTTGCGGCCTCTGACCCGACGTAGATCTCGACCAGCTCCTTGGTTTACCGAGGGGCTGAGAGAGATGAAA